GGATCTGGTCCAAAAGAGCTCACACAAAAGTGATCTCGGCACTTGGGATCCCACGCCTTTAATCCCAGCACTAGAGGGGGATAGGAGGCAGGAAGAGACAGGTACAGTCTGCATTCTGAGGTTTGGTGGAGAGCGGTGCAGTCTGAGGACAGGATGGCCCCTCTGTCTGAGCATTGGCAGAGGTGACGCTCTCGAGTGGCTGCTGCTCTGCTTCTCTGATCTTCAGCTTCAACCTCAGTATCTGTCTCTGGGTTTTTATTACTCATGCTACAGAGGATTCCTGTGACTGTCCATGGACCAGGTGACACACACACACACACAAACCTCAAAACAGCAGCAGTAACAAAACCCGTAGAAATGGGAAACAAACAATATAAAAATGCCCAGCTGTGTGTCAAGTTGGCAGGAATTTCACAGAAGGAATAAACGGAAAAAGGTGGCAGCCTCCGAATGTTGTTCTCTGAGGGCCCAGCTGGTGTGGCAGCATGAGGACAAGATGACCCGCAGAGACACCCGAGTTAAGTTGCAGCCTTCGTGCTGACAATACCAGCGGTGTAATCTGGAAGCTTCGCAAAGCAAGTGGACACGTGAATGCTAAGGATGATGTCTTCCTGCCCCAGCATTTTAAGGGAAGAGACACAGGTTAAGAAGATGATGAATAAAAACGTTGAGACCTTGAATTTGAAGTGATGAGCACGTGAATGTTTTGGGAACAGTTTGTTCGTGCTTTCTGATCGTCCCTCCTTTAGGAGATGGTGCCTGTTTCCTGGTGTTCCTTGTGCTATAGCTCTGGTGTGGTTTGTCCTCCCAAGGTTCATATGCTCAAAGCTTTACCCAAATCCAGTGCTTTGAGGGTGGGAGCTTTACGAGGTGGGCCTCACAAAAGCTCTTGGGGCTCACTCTCCAGGGCAGTGGACTAATGCTGTCTGGGGACTGGGTGGATTCTCATGGGATAGGATTAGTTCACAAGGAGGATGTCTGAAAGAAAATTCAGCTTTCTTGGCTGACTGTCTTGCTTCCGATCTTACCATGCAACCTCCACAGGGCGCGCGCGCGTGTGTGTGTGTGTGTGTGTGTGTGTGTGTGTGTGTGTGTGTGTATGTGTGTGTGTTTATGTGTGTGTGTGTGTGTAGGGATCAGGTGTCTGTGGAGGCCAAGAGTCTGTCCCTGCGGTCCACCTTGTTTGAAATGGGGTCTCTTGTTCACCACCTCACACCCCAGGATGAGGGTGTGACACTGAGCACCCCAGGGTCAGGGTGTGACACTGAGCCCCCCAGGGTGAGGGTGTGACACTGAGCACCCCAGGGTCAGGGTGTGACACTGAGCCCCCCAGGGTGAGGGTGTGACACTGAGCACCCCAGGGTGAGGGTGTGACACTGAGCTCCCTAGGGTCAGAGTGTGACACTGAGCACCCCCAGGGTGGTCTTCAGATGCTCTTATAAGAGGTAAGAAGTGCAGGAAAGCACAGGACACCAGGGCAGGAAGCTGGGGGACTCTGGGGGAGTTCCCAGAGCTGAGCACCATCACAGAAAGTGCCAGCCAGTGTCCTGTGCAACACTATAACCCATGGGGTTAGAGTATAGAACACACACACACACACACACACACACACACACACACACACACACACTCACACACAAGCCCAGCAATTGCTTAGAATGTCACCTGACCTTCAGATCTGACAATCCACAGCCAGCTATTGACTGGAGAGCCTGGGAAGTTCATGTTCACACCAAGGCCTGGGGAGTAAGGACCACAACCGGTGTCCGACACCTAACAGATAAGTCTACTCATGAATACCCACCTGGACAAGTGTTGCTCAGACAGAAGAAAGGATGATTGCTAGTCTGGAGTGACACATGACAAGAAATGACACAAAAGACCTTGTCATGTGCTGGCTAGGTTTTTTTTCACTTTCCTATCCTTTTCTTTTTTTGGTAACTAAACAAACACAAGGTAGGACCATCTGGGAAGAAGGAGTTTCAACTGAGAGAATGCCTCCATCAAATTGGCCTGCAGACATGTGTGTGGGGACATTTTCTGATCAATGATTGGTGTGGGAGGGTCCAGTCCGCTGGGGATGGTGCCATCCATGAGGCGGATTGTCCTGGTGTATGTGAGAAAGCTGTGATGGGAACAAGACAATAGGCATTGCCCTCCACGGCCACCGATGATGGGAACAAGACAATAGGCATTGCCCTCCACGGCCACCGATGATGGGAACAAGACAATAGGCATTGCCCTCCACGGCCACCGATGATGGGAACAAGACAATAGGCATTGCCCTCCACGGCCACCGATGATGGGAACAAGACAATAGGCATTGCCCTCCACGGCCACCGATGATGGGAACAAGACAATAGGCATTGCCCTCCACGGCCACCGATGATGGGAACAAGACAATAGGCATTGCCCTCCACGGCCTCGGCTTCGGGCCCTGCCTCTGGGCTCCCGGCTTTGCCCCATGCTGGACTGCAACCTAGGAGTTGAAATCCGAGACAAACCCTTTCCTCCCCAAATTACTTTTGGTCTGTTTAACCACAGCAAAAGAAAGTGAACCAAGACAACATGGATTTCCCCTCTGGCCGGGGCCAGAGCAGACAGTGCTTGCTTATGTTTTTGGTTGTGAGCCTAGCCTTTAACAGCTGAGCCCAGAAGCAGCCTTTTCAAATTTCCTAATTGTTGCTTTGGGAAAGGAGGAAAACTGTGAGTGGGCAGGAGGGAATTTGGGATTCGTGTGTGATGGCAATTGCAGAGGGCTTTGGGTGTTATGTAGTTGATAGAACTTTCAGTGGAATGACTCATCCATTTTACTAAGCAAGAATTTTACCCCTGATGTCACAGAGCACTTTTGAATAGCTACTGGCACACATTCTGAGGTCTCAGGGGGATTATGCAGATGTCTACAGTTTCTTTTGAAGCCTTTCAAGAAGACAAGATGGGAGGGAGGGTTGGAAGGACAGGGAGACACCTGGCAGGCTAACGGAGCGTGTGGCGCTGGGCATGCAGGTGCTGGTTGTTCAAGCATAAAGTTTTCCATAATAAAACACTTCTGTTGGTGGATGGAACGTTCAGCTGTAAGAGGCTCCCCTGGTCATGGGTACACTTAGAATCCCAGCCAGGGGAGGTGGAGACAGGGGGATCCTAAAGTCCACTGGCTACCAGGCCAGCCCATTTGGGGGGCTGAAGAGGCAGCATGGCAGTTTGTGTAACCCCAGTGAGAAAACACTACATGTTAGGTGCTTAATCTAGGAGAGGTTTATTCTCATTCTCTCATCCAGTTTGAAGCTAGAGGGTTAGGTTTTGTTGTCCTGGATCGAAGTCAGGGACTTGTTTTTGTTTTTTAATTTAAATTAGAAACAAGCTTGTTTCACATCTCAATCCCAGTTCCCTCTCCCTCCCCTCCTCCCCCACCCCCCACTCCTCCATCCCATCCTCCCTCCCCTCTCCAGGAAGGGTGAGGCCCTCCATGGGGGATCTCCAAAGTCTGTCATATCATCCCTGGGGCAGGGGCAGGGGCAGGGGCAGGGGCAGGGGCAGGGGCAGGGGCAGGGGCAGGGGCAGGGGCAGGGGCTGGGCCCTCCCCATGTGTCAGGCTGAGAGAGCATCCCTCCATGTGGAATGGGCTCCCCAAGTCCATGCGTACGCAAGGGATAAATACTGATCATAGATTGCCGAGGCCTCATCACTGACACCCATGTTCCGGGGGTCTGGATCAGTTCCATGCTGGCCTCTCAGCCATCAGTCTAGGGTCCATGAGCTCCCCCTGTTCAGCTCAGCTGCTCTGTGGGTTTCACTAGCCCGGCCTTGAACCCTTTGCTCATCACTCCTCCCTCTCTGCAACTGGGTCCCAGGAGTTCAGTTCAGTATTTAGTTGTAGATGTCTGCCTCTGCTTCCATCAGCCACTGGATGAAGGCTCTAGGATGGCATATAAGATAGTCATCAATCTCATTATCAGGGAAGGGCATTTAAGGTAGCCTCCCCACTACTGCTCAGATTGCCAGTTGGTGTCATCCTTGTAGATCTCTGGAAATCTTTCTAGTGCCAGATCTCTCCTCAAACCTATAATGGCTCCCTCTACTATGATATCTCTTCCCCCCGACTCAACCTTCCTGCTCCCCCATGTCCTCCCCACCCCTCTCTTTCTCCCAGCTCCCTCTCCCCTTCCCCCATGCTCCCAATAATCTGCTCAGGAGACCCTGTCCCACTCCCCTTCTCTGGATTACCGTGCATATCTCTCTTAGGGTCCTCCCTGTTTCCCAGACTCTCTGAAGCCAGGGTCTTGTAAATAACAAGCAAGAGTGATAAACTGAACCTCGATGAGGCTAGAAGTTTCTAGGTTTGTTTGTTTTTTGAGTTAAGCTCTAATTCTGCAACCCAGGCTGGCCTGGAACTCATGATGTAGCCCAGGCTGGTCTTAGCCTTATGGCAATCCTCCTGCCTTAGCCTTCCAAGTACTGGAATTACAGGTGTGTGATACCACACTCCGCCAAGGCTAGAAGTTTTAACTCAAGGTGTCAGCAGGGCCACACACCCTCGGAGGGTCTAGAGAGAGTCTTCCCCACCCTTCTGAGCCTAGCTGCAGGCTTGACTCATGGTCACATGACATCCTCACTGTGAATCTCTTCCTCTGCTTCCTATTGGGGGCGTGTCACCAGGAAGTTTTGGGAAACACGATTTCTTCATGCCATGGGTGTGAACCACTGTGGTACGGCCATCTTCTGTGACTCCTCCAAGCCCAGTCTCTAACTGGTCTGAGGGACCCTGGCAGCACTGACCAAAGCAGCAAGATCTGCAGCATACCTCAGCTTTCCCTCACTCCTCATCCCTGCCGTCTGCTCTATTCTGTCCCCTCTGGGACTCCTGGGCCCTGGGCAGCTAATGGCACACAGACTGGGACTCTGGCACTGTCCCTGGTTCTGACTGAGTGTTGGGTGGCAACTCCAATTTACCTGTCCTTTGCATAAAAAAGAGGTATGAGGACCTGGTTCAACAGTTGAGAGCACTTGCTGATTTTGTAGGGAACCAGGGTTGGATTTCCATCACCCACATGGTGGCTTCACAACCATCTGTAACTCCAGTCACAGGGAATCCGATGTCCTCTTCTAACTGCTGTGGGCACACTTGTAATCCCAGAACAGGGGAAGTGGAGACAGGCTCTCTGAGGTCCACTGGCTACTTGGGGGGAACTCCAGAGAGTGAGAGACCTTGCCTCAAAAATCAGTGTACTTCTCTCCCTCCCCCTTTCCTTGGCTGGCTTGGAACTCTGTGCAGACCCAGCTGGCCTGAAGCTCACAAAGATTCACCCACCTCTGCTTCCCGAGTGCTAGGATTAAAGGTGTGTCCCACCATGCCCAGTTCAAGATGGATAGTTTCTGATGAACCACACCCAGGTTGATCACTGACCTCCACAAACATCACACACACGCCCTATGAACATACATACACAACTGCAGACACACACCAAAAATACATAGGTAAACAAACACTAGAGCATGAATACACGATTCTTTGTATGGTATTTAGCAGAGTGTTGCAGGCAGGGTCAAGACCTACTGTCCTTGTGAACCCATGACCCTAGGAACAGCAGTATGGGCCAGGTTAGGTTGGAAGAGGGTAGTCAAAGCCTACTCCCTAAGGGGGGCTGTCCAGGCTACAGCGGCCAGGTCACACCTTGGCAATTCATTCTACTTCTGCTGCTGCTTTTTTTTTTAAATAAAAGTCCTTTCTTCTGCTAATCATGGCTACCATTGTTCTTGCCTGCAAAAATCCTGATAGGGAAAACCACCAGACTGAAAGCATCAGGAGGAAGTCAGAGTAGCCTGGAAACCAGGTTGGGAATCTCGTCTCCCTGGCAACCAAGTCCAGCCTGGGGAGAGCAGGTCTCAGGCTCTCCATTTTCCGTGCTCCCGAGGGGCCAGCCCTCCCCTCCTCACTCATTATTCTTTCTCCATTCTAGCTTCCTCCCGTCCCCCCCATCTCATGCATAAGCTAAACCTTACCCACCTGTGTTTTCTAGTGTGGGAGGCAGATTGCCTTCAAATGTAGGGGCTTAAAACAGCAAATTCATTCTCTCCTGGTGCCTCTGGCAGGAATCCAGGTGCTTTGCTGGAGGCTCTAGACTGTGATCTCACATCAGGCTGGGGCTTCTGGCCCATCTGAAAGCTTGCCTGGGTGGGGTCCGCTCCCAAACTCACTCATGGGGGGCATTGGCAGTGTCAACCCTTGTCACACAGGATGTAGCAGGATTGGGGCCATGGACGTGCTGAGGAGAACAACACAGAAGCCACAGTCTTTGTGATTCACTCTTGAAGGTGCTGTCTTTGTGAAAAAGCAAGTTCATTTAGCCCGGGCTGAGGGAGGGGGTGAGTGACATGGAAGGCTGAGGATGCCAAATGAGGGTGGGGGGGGCTGCCCTGCCTGCCCATTTCACCACCTCTCCTTGATACTGAGATCTGGGGCCACAGGAACCTCATACATTTCTGAACAGAAGATTGTCAGAATCCTCATCTTGAGAATGGGCTGGCTGTGCTCGGGAAAGTCCCCCATGCCATCATGGACCCCTCATCGCCATACCATGTCTGTATGGAACCCCAGAGTCATCTGAAAAAGGGGGCAGAAGCCAGCCTTATGCTAGGACATCCAGACATACGTCCTTTTCCCCTGCCTCACAAGGGGCAGCATGGAATAAGAAATAGATGATCTGGATGCTGCCCCGCCCCAACCCATCCTCTGGCCCCTTCGGCTTTCTGCAGCGGTCAGCCTGAGGCACCCTCTGCTTCCCCATCTCTGTTTCCCCTCAGGGAAGTCTCGTCCACTTTCTTATCTGCTTCCTAGGGTCTCCTCTACCGTGCACACCACAGCCCAGGGCCCCCTTCCTGTGACCCGGCTGCCCCAATCTGCCGTCTTCCCTAGCACAGGAACCCCACAGACGGGACACCAGTCTTCTGTTGCTGCCACAGGGAAGCTGGCACAGAGGTTCTGAGTGAGGACCAGATGATGGTGGTGAGGGCAAGGCTATACTTGCTGGGTGTTCCTGTACCGTAAAACATTCCTTAGCAATCCTATCCCTGCCAGGTGCTTTTTTTGTGATCAGGGAAGACCAGAAAGGACTACAGGGAGCTCTGATCACCATCCCTCCCTACTGTCCCACCCTACTCAGGATTCCCCAGGGACCAAATGGATGTGTAAATATGCAGAGTTATTTTAAAGGGGGAGGGCTCACATGATTGTGGGGACTGACAGTTCTAACCCCTGCAGGTGGGCCGACAGGCAAGAGCACACAGGCAACCATGCCCAAAGCTAGAACTGGCAGGATTCCCTCCTGCTCAGGCACCCTCGAGCTTCCCTGCTATTCAGACCTTCAGCTGATTAGATGTGACCCACCCACACTATGGAGTCCGGTTTACTTAATCAAGACTTACCTATTTAAATGTTAACCTGTGCTCTAATGAGACAGGCCAGTGAGTAAAAGGTTCTTGCTGCTAAGCCTTGAACTCAGTCTCTAGGAAGGACACTCATGATGGAAGGGGACGACTCCTTTATGCTATCTTTTGCCCTCTGGTCTCAGCTCTGCTGTATAGAAATTTTTTTCCTAGATAAATCTCCATCACGGAGGAAAGCTGGTTATGACACAGGACTCAGGGTATTGTAAAGGGAGGAGAAACTGTCTACCCTGTAGGGAAGTTCTTTACATTCAAGAAATAAACAACACGAAGGCTTCAGGAAGTCCCTGAAACCAACTAGACTCACTAGGACCCTTACCTAGCAAACCTTACCTCAGCAGTGAGGACTACTAAGACCCACTCTCAGACCACACCAGCCAACTGAAAGAGACAGAGAGCAGCTGAGAAAGAGGCACCCCCCCAACCTGTGAATCTGCCTGCAGGCTATGCTCCCAGTTCTCAGCTTTCCCAAGCTTATCATCTGTGCTAGCATGGGTGTTTGGCCATCCAGCTGTCTTTGAGTCTCTTCTGTCCGGTAAGGGATGCCCATATTTCTCTAAGGAACCCTGAAATGAGTAAAACCTGTTTGTTCAGCAAGTTGGACATTGGTGGTGTCTTTGCTTTGCTCTGTTGCTCCTCTCTGTCTGGGGTGAGCAGCTGTTTGTTCGTCTCCCCTGTAATAAAGGCACACAGCACACCCACAGTCATAGCACACCCCAAACAAACAAATAGATAAGTGATGTAGTAAATGTTACTCTGGCTGCATCAGGTGGCACTTGTCTGGACTACCTAGTGACTTGAGACCACCATGGGCTACATAGTGAGACCCTAGGAACAAGAGAAAGAAGAGAAAAGAAAAATGTTGGCTAAATGTTAATCTCATCCAAAAACATCCTTACAGACACCCCGGGATAATGTTTGACGTACTGAGTACCATGGGCCAGACACATGCCACATGACATTAGTTACCCACTCTCTAAACAGGCATTTCCCCACTTACAGATCAAGGTAACACACTACAGTTCTCAGGTTCTGGTGTGTGGTCTCCCACCTCATCTCCCTGTAGATTCCCGGGCTCTCTGTCCACCCCTCCCCACCTCATGCTGCCTTCCTTCCAGCCCTGAATCCTTGGTGTCTCTCCACTTCCAGCCTTTGCACGTGTTGCCTGCCCCACGTGTGGTCCCTTCGTTGAGAGCTGCCTGTGGTTGCCCTGGAAACCTTCCTCTGCATCTTGAGCATCCAAAGGAGTCTAATGTTCATTGCTCACTTAGCTGCTTCTTAACAATGCAGGGTCTTCGATCCCCCACCCCAGAGCACCCTCCTGTCTGGCACGTGCTGCTGCCCAGGGCTCCAGCTGTCTAGAAGGCACATGGCAGATGTCTTTTGTAAGCCAGTCCTCTGAGCACGCTTGTGTCTGGACCTCCACCATCATGCTCCTTCTTGAAGTGTCTTCTTTACGTGTTTGTTTAGTGAAGGGTGGCTAGTGGTAAAACTCTCCCAATTTAATCTGGAAGGTATATTTATTTAAACTATAAAATAGCATTCCAGTGTGGTGGGGCATGCTTATAATCCCAGTCCTTGGAAAAGACAAGAGGTAGAGGGATCTGGAGTTCAAGGCCAGTCTGGCCTATATAGCAAATTCAAAGCCAGACTGAATTACATGAGAGCCTATCTTTAAAAACAACACCCCAAAATCCATCAAAACGAACAAACACAGAATAATCAACCAAAAACTTCAAGTCAATGTGCCAGCTTTCTTGTTGTTCTGACAGAAATATCTACACAAGCAACTTGAAGGAGGGAAGATACACTGTGGCGACCTATCTCAGAGGCGTCTGTCTATGTTGTGTGATACCAGCTTTGGGCAGGACATCATGGCAGGAACATTTGGTAGAGAATGTTCTTGGCAGATAGGAAACAAAGAGACAGGAGGTGCCAGAGGCAACACCACAGGACCTGCTACCAGTCCCCATCCCTCCATTCCTCCCTAAAGTTTCCAGAAAAGCCTCCACATAGTGCCAGCTGGAGATTGACACTTGGGGGGCAACCTTTATAGCCAAATGTAACAGTGTAGTGGTACCTACCTGGGACTTCAGAACTCCAGAGGTTGAGGCAGGAGGATAGTGGGTTAGAGTTCAGCTTGGACTACCCAGTCTGACCCTGCCACAAGAAAGCAAAACCATTTGATTAATAGTACCTGTGTGTATTTAGGGTACCGGGAACATTCCGATACACAATACATTGTAGAGTAATCAAACAGACCAATCAACCTTTCTTCCTCTCAAGTTTTCAGTGAAGACATTTAAAACACATTATCTTACTCATTTAAAAGAATACATTGTATTGACTGGAGAGATGACTCAGAGGCTAAGAGCACTGGCTGCTCTTTCAGAGGCCCTGAGTTCAATTCCTAGCACCCACGTGGTGGCTCAAAACCATCTGCAATGAGATCCGGTGCCCTCTTCTTGCCTGCAGGCAGAGCACTGTATACATAAATCTTAAAAACAAACAAACAAACAAACAAAAACTAACCATTGTATTAACTGTAGCCCTGGGCTGTGTAACAGATCTTAATGACTTACCCTCCTGTCTAAGGGAAACTGTGTTTCTTAGTGCTCAGCTCCTGGTCTTCACCACTCTGTCTCTGCTCATCAAATGAGATTGTGCACACATTCCCTTCCTTGATATCCTGACCAGCACTTGTGGTACTTCGTCTTTCTTGTAATCATCATCCTAATTAATGTCAGGTTACATTTCATTATGGCCTGAATTAGCTTTCCCCTGGTAGCCAGTGACACTCAGTATTTTTCTACAAACTTGGGAACTCCCTGTATGCCTTCTTTTGAGAAGTGCCTAGTTAGAGTCTTTGTTGATTTTTAAGTCAGATGATTTGTTTGTTTTTTTGCTACCAAATTGTTTTCTAAATTTATGGTTATCTGAAAAATTTGTTTTGCATTTAATTTAGGAAAATGGTGCATACAAATCTGAGTTAGGAGATTTTTTTTCTGAGCATTATAAAAATACTATTTCACTCTCTTAGTTTTGATTGTTTTTTTTTGTTTGTTTTGTTTTTTTCGAGACGGGGTTTCTCTGTGGCTTTGGAGGCTGTCCTGGAACTTGCTCTTGTAGACCAGGCTGGCCTCGAACTCACAGAGATCCGCTTGCCTCTGCCTCCCGAGTGCTGGGATTAAAGGCATGCGCCACCAACGCCCGGCTAGTTTTGATTGTTTTGCCACCAACCAGATTCATTAGACTTATCTCCTTCATTTTTTTTTTTTTAGATTTTCCTGTCTTTGGTGGTCTGCAATTTCGCTATGCTGTGCTTAGGTAAACTATCATTTGTCATTATACTTATTATACATTAGAACCCTTACCAACACTTACCTTTCACCAGTTCTGACTTATTAAGTAAACACCAACTTTGAGGCTTTACTTGGACTTTCCGTGGCTCTTTGCACACAACCTTTTGAAGCACTTTATGCTTCTTGACTTCTTAACTCTTGTGTTGCCACGCCCGATGCACAGCCTGTATCCGAGAATGTGGCGAGGGTATCAGGATTGATGACACAGAGACCAGAAGGCTCCTCAAGAAGGCTCTCTTTTATTCCTATTCTGGCTAGTTATTATATACCCTAACACCAAAGGTGGAGGTGGGTGGGTCTGAAGAGAGGGTTAGTCTTTGGAAAAGGTCAAGGACAGGGCGGTTCCCGTGAGCAAGCCCTATTCAGGAACTTATTGTCCCAAGCATTGTATTGTTTTTAGTAAACATGTTTTTAGTAAACATTGTCTTACAGCTGCCTACTCCCAGGCTGATGGGGAAGTGGGTCTCTGCTCAAGGTCTGGTGTCCCCACAATTCACACCTTTTTATTTTCTAATAAGGCATTCCTGGCTTAGGTCAAGTAGGGCCACCCTCCCTTGCCTGTCTTTGGGGGACCTTGAACCCCTGTCTTAGGTGGGAGGTGTCTTCCCCACAGGTTGCTCATCAACGGAAGAACCTCATCCTTAAATCATCTGTAACCAAACTTCATGGCTATCAGGATTGCCATGGGCTAAGCTAAGTAATACTTGGTTACAGATCTCTTGCCTCTGGAACAAGGCATGTTTGAGCTTGGCATAAAGCCAGAATGCCTACTGCCACTGACACCATTTCCAGGACCCCCATTGATATAGCGCCTCTCCATCACTGTACCCATCACCAGATCTGGGCCATAACATTCTACTAGCCTTCGTCTGTTACAAGGGTAACCCGCATGTGATTTACATTCTGTTACAAGGGTAACCCGCATGTGATTTACATTCTGTTACAAGGGTAACCCGCATGTGATTTACATTCTGTTACAAGGGTAACCCGCATGTGATTTACATTTACAATTTGATGGTCAAAACAGTGATAAAGTTTACAATTGTTCTAAGATCTGCTCAGGAAAGCATTTAGAAAGTGCACTTGCACAGATACATTGAGCACAATCATTGATGTTACACATGTAGCATTATAAAAAAATATGAACAATAGGCTTGTTGCACAATCCACAGAGCACCAATTTGTTCCTGTGGTGATGCAGTTTGTTGATTTAATGTCAGTAGCCTCAGCTGAATATGCGATTTGAGTCAAAGTCTCCTTTTTGTCGCATTAGGACAAGTTGCATTTCTCCAGAAAATACACTGGCATAGGCACGATTCCAGAAACAGGAACCACCAAGTCTGATATTTCAAGTGACCATGTCCTGTTCAAATACTGAAAAGAGACATTTGCCACTCATCACAGTCCATACCAATGTCCAAATATTTTAAATTGGTCCTTTTTCCCCCAAAGGGAAAAACTGGCAAAATGAATTCTGTTTTTTCAAGGTGTGTCAAGGGCAGACAGTTAGTCTTTCCAGTTCTCTGTTGGCTTCAGGATGAAAACTCACGGGTCTGGAAGGTTGATGCAGTAGGCCTGTTGAGAAACTGGAAATCTTGAACCGACTGTTTTCTTTCTTTCTCAGGCTGTAGATTCGATGACATCAAGGGTCAGGAACACTGATTTAGGAGATCTCACTCAAACTGGCTTAGGTAGGCTCCCATGGTCTCAGGCGCAGTTTTTCTTTGTTCCATGCATCTCACCAAATGTTCTGACAGCTGCCAAAGCTTTATTCTTTTCCTGCAAGAAAACACAAACATGCCCTCCACTCCAAATTAGGGTCTTCTCCACTGTCTAGTGCATGGATGTCTCCATTTGACCTGAGCAATAGTTGCTCAAGTTCCATCATGCCAGAATCTGTCTGAAGCAGATTGCTCACTGTCATTCACATTTTAAATTTTTTTTTTTTTGGTTCTTACGAGACAGGGTTTCTCTGCATAAGTTTCGGAAGCTATCGGTCCAGCCCGGCCTCGAACTCACAGAGATCCGCCTGCCTCTGCCTCCCGAGTGCTGGGATTAAAGGCGTGCACCACCACTGCCCAGCTTCACATTTTAAAAATTTTAAATGAGGAGTGTATTATTTGATGAGTCATGTGGCGGCTGGGAACATTACTCCCCCTTTTTTTATTTTCTAATTTTTTTTTGAACTGTTGAAGCTAGACCATAACAGTAGAAGGATTTGTCTACCCTCCTTGGTTAACTATCTAGGTGAATTGGGATCACTACCTAGATTATTTATAGATGCCCTTTAAAAAGGACATATCCATTAAGTATTTGCCAAAAACTTCTGAAAATCACTCAAAGATTGTAAACTATATTGTGTCCCAAATAACTTTTGAAGTCTGTGAGCAATCTTTTCCAATTTAACCTGTAGAGCTCTCACTAGCTGACAAGGCCTCATTTGCATCTTAACTTTTCTGTTAAGATATTAACAGACTGGCTGGATGTTCCTTTTGGCTATATCTAAAGCAATTTAGGTAGCTTTTTAAATATTTTTGAAGGGATTTAAGTATCCTTTTAATCATATAAGCAGTTCACACACATTCACAATCACATTTCATATATACCGGTGTGGCCACACCATACATTCAGAACATACATGCATCTTTTGGTCATCCTTTTTCCCTAGGTCATGATTAGTCTGTAAAAATGAAGCTTCCTTAATTGAAATCTCTGTAACAGAACAACTCCAGCTAATCATTGAACTAAAAAGGTTAAAAAGTCCTGTATACCCTTCATCATTCCTCCATTTGAGCTACAGTCATGGGGTACAGCCGTATCTACTCCATGTAACTTTGTAAATGCAAGGTGGAGAGGCCAGGCTTTTGGCCAAAAGTTTTTAGAGATGACTCACAAAATAGAACTTAAATGCAAACAGAATTTTCCATTTTATATACCTTTGTCTTTTTCTTTTTCTTTACTTAATACCAGTACCTCTTTACTGTTGCCAATTTTTTTTTTTGATTCACCCATTTTTTTTTCCAAGACAGGGTTTCTCTGGATTATTTGGAGGCTGTCCTGGAACTCGCTCTGTAGACCAGGCTGGCCTTGAACTCAAGAGATCTGCCTGCCTGTGTCTCCCGAGTACTGGGATTAAAGGCGTGTGCCGCCGACGCCCGGCTATTCACTCATTTTCAATCCATCCTTCAACCCAGGACGTTTCCTCAGGCAAAAAGCCTTAAGATTTACACAATCCACCCTCCAACTGAGGGCACTCTCTTGGGTTCCCTTCTTTCCCGACCTTGGTGTCAGGCTGAGGCCTAGAGATTTAATGTAATCCACCCTCCAACTGAGGGCAACCTCTCAATTTTTCTTTCTTACTGGAGATTTAATCCAATCCACCCTCCAACTGAGGGCAATCTCTCAGGGTCCCCTTACTTTCTTGACCTTTGTCAGGCGAAGGCCTGGAGATTTAATCCAGTACCCCTAGCTTGGTACCCCTTTTTAACACATCTGCATAGCCTTACTGGCCAGCCTTTTAGATCTCTCCATTCCCCTTTACTTTCCTGACCTCAGTGGATCAGGCGAAAGACTGGAGATTTTTTACTTTATTTCTTATTTTACATTTTTTTTGAGAATGGGTTTCTCTCTATCCTTTTGGAGGCTGTCCTGGAACTGGCTCTATAGACCAGGATGGCCTCATTCCTTCCTACCTCTGCCTCCCGAGTGTTGGGATTAAAGGCGTGTGCCACCAACACCCGGCTCTCTGAAAATCATGGCCAACATCCTCCCAATCTGGGACATTTAAGCCTCCCCCAGTAATGAACCATGGACTTGCTCGTTCAATCCATTTTAGAAAACCTTCCATGGTTGTAGTCCCCTGTTCTTCAAGTAACTTTTTTACGTGATAGTGTAATTTAAAGTTCCAGGGACTATTTCCCATCATTTCTTTTCCTATTTTCCCCCATCCATCCCTGGCTGGCAAAAGGGACGACCCTGTCCACTCACCTTGCTTTCACATCTCGGTGGGACCTCCAATTGCCGCACCTGCTGCGCAGCCTGTGTCTGAGAATGTGCTGAGGGTGTTGGGGATTGATGACACAGACCCAAAGGCTCCTCAAGAAGGCTCTCTTTTATTCCTATTCTGGCTCGTTATTATATACCCTGACACCAGAGGTGGGGGTGGGTGGTCTGAAGAGGCGGATAGTCTTTGGGAAGGTCGAGGTTAGGGCAGTTTCTGTGGGCCAGCCCTTTTCAGGAACTTATTGCCCCGGGCATTGTATTGTTTTTAGTAAACATGTTTTTAATAAACATTGTCTTACAGCTGCCTACTCCCAGGCTGATGGGGA